GGCCTCCCTCATCTTTTTAAGTGGGAGAACTTGTACAATTGGTGGCTGACTAAATACTTTTTTGCCCCACTGTAGATGGCAATTTCATGTAAGCAGAGGAAAAACATTTGCCTCCTTAAAGCTTAGTGTCTACATTTAAGCCTGGGCAAAAGTAAATAGAGGAAACTGAGATAAGAATACAGTTTCAGGGGCAATCTACTGTCCATGGATAATTTCATGCAACCTTCAGCCTTATTTCGCAATCCTTGTGCAAGAGATCAGTTCATGTATATGTTATATCTCAGAGGGAGAGGAAGTTAGTAGAAAGAGAGAGCTTTGGGGCTCTCTCCCAACCACCATTTACTTCAGCCCTACCCAGCAGGCAACCTCCAACCAATTACTCCTGAGGGAATGTGGTCTTTGACTTGTCCATCTCTGCTTAAGCAATTATATGCCACCATTGAACTGGATAAACCTCAAGGCAGCTTATAATAAATTACACATAGCAGAAATGTACTCCAAACTAACGTATCCCATCAGTTATTGGTCCTTGCATAATAGCTGAGGGCACCGGATGCAATCCTGCGTATAAGATTTTGTTTTAGTTGTTTTAGTTTAGCTTTAGGTCTAAGTGCAAAGCTTCACAAAACAAGTGGGTGAGGAATTATTTAAGTAACTGAGAAGCAAAGTGGTTCCATTGAGAGTGTTTAGGTGGGAATTCTCTCCTAAGGGGGCAGCAGAAGAATGTCAGCAGAGACATGAGAGAGATTTCTACGATGGTATATGTGGAAAGAATGAAGACGCCAAAGGCAAGAACATAAAATGGATGTTACATGGCTGGCTGGGGAACTCTGGGAGTTGAAGTCCACACATCTTCAAGTTGCCAAAGTTGAGAAACACTTCTAAACAGCAACAATTGGGAATGAGCGGGTCTAGCAGCTAAGTTTTGGTCAGAGACAAGAGGATTGAGACGCGATTAAAAAAAAAACAGGAGAAGCTAATCATGATCTCGGCAGGAGGTGGGAAGCCATGAGACTAGCATTTTAGTTAGGAAGAAGAGGAGGAAGAGCCTTCCTTTGCCACAGGATGTCTTATTCTTCCTAAGCTTTTACTTTCATTCCCCTTTGGTGAAAGCAGAATAGTGTCTTTCTTTTTCAAAGTATGGATTCTAGCCCCCTGGGATGGAAGGTTTTGTGGTGATTTTGTAAACTTGTTTTTGATTTATGACTGAGTTTTTATGTGTGTGTTCTTAGGGTTCTCTGTGCCCTGGCATCCCCTTGAGAGGGGAAGTTGACCTTCTCTGTTTGTTGCCTTCCAGTTCCACTGTGGCTCAGCCGTCCGAGATGCCACCATCTCCGCTGGTCTGGGAGTGAAAGTGGAAGATACAGTATACTACTGAAGACATAATGTAGCTTTCCACTGGATTCTGGGATTTGCAATTCTGGAGATTTAATCCTGCTTGTACTGTAATTTTACTAACGAAGTTTTAAATTAACAACCACTATCCTTGTATGTTATACAATAAGAGTTAGAAAAATGTTAACTAGGCTTTTAAATCCTGTCAAAGGTGGGGTTGTGCTTTTAGAAAAAAAATATTTTATCCAGGGTTGCACTTTTCTTTCTTTCTTTTTTTTTTTTAAATTTATGAATTGTAGTGCAGCTGTGAATTTTGCTTGGCTCAGAACGAAAAAGATTGAACCAATTTTTTTCTTCAGTTTTAAAAGTGGAATTGTATAAAAGGACAAGCTATTTTGATATTGAGCCATTCCTGAAGATTTGGGACTTTTGTTTGAAAAACAAAACAGGGAATACAAAACTTAATCATGACCAATCATGAAGCCTCATCAGAGGGCAGCGTCCAGGCATGAGTGGGCAAAGTCACCTGATGGTCACATCCATCTCCATAGCTTCTCAGTAGCAAAGTGGTGGTGCCTGTGTGCTGTTTTCCAGTCTGATTTTGTGAGTAGAGAGAATGAGTTTTAACTAGGAGAGAAAAGTGTCTTTTCCTTTGAAACCCCTCCCAAGTTATAAATAAATATATATAAATATATATATTTAATCTATTTTTATTAGAAGTTTTTTCTGCTCTTTTTCTTACATAAACCATCCCCTTCCCTTCCCTCTGCCCCAGCACGCATTCCATTTGGGGGCTAATATTTCAAAAAAATCTTGATATCCATTGCCATGGAGAGAAAGAGAGAGAGAGAGAGAGAGAGAGCGCATGAGAAAGTAGTTTACACATTTTTAGATCTGTGAAACTTTGTGATTTCTTCTTTTTTTTTAAATCCTGCACTGGACAGTTGGATGAAAAAGAAATGAAAAATAGTGGGGGAAAGCACATAGGGAATTATGTTAATTGTATTTGTGTCATTAGGCAAAGCCGTGGAAGTCTTGAAATGTCACAGTAGTAAATAACTTTTATTACTTTTTGGCTAATTTCTTTTTGTGTGTGTTCTGTTCAAACACTGAATTATTCTGTGCATATGTATGTATATATATATATGAACACAAATTGAAGGCCTCTACCTCCTGGAAGTATACAACATGGCTTGTTTACCTCCACCTGATTTTTTTTTTTTAAGTCCAGTGTGGAGACTTGAAACTTGAATGTCCCTTCCAACTTTTATATTTAAAAAAGGCAAGAAAAATTGAAGACTGTTTTTCACCTGTACAAAGAAATAATGAATGGATGGTCTCGAATTTTTGAATGTTGGTCTGGGATATTAAAAAATAAGAGAAACCTTGGTGTTTGTCATGGACAATTAACTGTTAAAGTTATTGTAAGTTATCTGTATTTAGCAGAGTATTTTCAAGAAGGGTGATCTGAGTTGGAACTGGATTCTATTAGTTACGTTTTTGGAAGTTTTAACTTCAATGAAGTAATTATTTTGCTGTGAAGAAAGACAAACGTTGAATTTCTCAAACAAAGATGCTGAAATATCTTTGTTTTTTGTGTGGCTCCTGCGAATTTAAAGCAAACAAAACCAACTGCAACATTTCAATTCACTTGAATGAAAATCGTGTTTTTACTTAAAAGAGCCCAAGAAGACACTGGTATGAAAGGTAAAATCTCAGAGGTTGGTCTGTTAAATGTGGCACACTTGCGGGTCACTTTGTACAATGTAGATTTTGAAGTACAGTGGTGAAAACATTAAATGTGACATTTGAAACAAACAAGCAAACAGAAAATTCCATGACTAAGTCTTCTTGTTGTTGTTGTTGTTCCATCCTTCAACTGATTTGGGCCGCATGTGGAATCTCTTGTTGATTCAACTCCCTAATCTTAGATTTGGGTTCTTTCCAAGTTTAGTTATATGGAGCTGCATATAAACAAGGCCATTCAGAAGCCACAGAGAGCTGGTTGAAAAACTGGAACTCCTGAGCACTCACATATGACTGACACTTCAGAGGTGGCAACTGAATGCAGCTGCAGGACTGAGATCAAGTTTGGGTTTTCCATATTAATTGGGGTGAGAATTCTAGAACTTTCTGCTTCACTTGTGTGCAGTAGGCACTCACCTCAGGTCCTGGGCATCGCACTTTTGAGAAGGATTCAGACAAACTAGAAGAGATTTGGAGAGGAAACATGGGTGATGAGGGGATAAGAAGCTAAATCCCATGAGGAGAAATAAGGGAACTGGGGGTGTTTAGCCCTGGATAAAGAGGTCTGAGTAGGAAACACTGTTGTGCTCTTCATATTTCTAAAAGGATGGCATATTATACAGGAGTATAGAGCCTGGAATAATGGACAGGATACAGGAAGGCAGATTCCAAATGAATGTTAGGTGAAGCTTCCTAACTAAGAGCAATTGGACAGTGCAACCAATCTGCTGAAT